CATGTTCCTATCAATCGGAATCGATTGAAATAAAATTATAATAGATATTATTTGATGCTTTTGTCACAGTTATTCAGAATAACTAACTAAGGAAAAGCGATTTTATACTATATTATTTTAATATTCGCCACAAAGTACTCCATAAATAAAACTTACTAAAACAATTAAGAATATTTCCGCCAGCCCTTCCACTTACCCCACTCTTCCCCAAGATCGTGAGATGGGGCCACGCAATAATAATAATAATCTCTCCGGCAACATCTCCCCGGATTCGTCCCGGAGCAAAATCCAGCGTGCGAATCAATGTTGCGGCACAGCGCCGCCTATGGATTTGTTATTACGCTTTGTTCGCTCAGTCAGTGAATTGGGGCATAAATAATCGGGTTTTGAATATGCACATACACACAAATCGAAGCTCCGGCACGCATTATTCCATCTATATTTTCAAGTGAATAATTGACTGTCATCATGTATAGAAATAGTTGAATTATCTAACTGATAAACGGGACAAACACTGTCTTATGGATTATAAATTGATCAAAGCATCAACAAATGGATTTCTTTCATAAAATCACAATCTGCTTAAGACCTTTAGTAATTTTAGCGGTCAGTATACAGAGTTATTAAAGCGTTAAAAAGTCAATAAAAGAGAGCGTTTTACATTTGAAATTTTGGATAAAACTAAATACAATTTTAGGTGAAAAACCTGAATTGCTTATAGAGTGAATAAGTTTAGAGATAATGTTCTTCTAATTCATCAAAGCTGTTAGCAGTCATTTTTCTGGTCATCTTTTTTATTTCGTTGCAAATCTTCTGATTTTCTCTGTCGCTGTATACATATTTGCTGTTGATGAATTAGCTAATTTGGAATATTTTTATGTCTCTCTAATATTTGTTTGAGGATAAACTAAATACAACATTAGGTAAAAACCTGAATTTCTTATAAACTAACTAGAGAGAATGCTCTTCTAACTCGTCAAAGCTGTTAGCAGTGTTTTTTCTGGTCATTCTTTGTATTTTGTTACAAATCTTCTGATTTTCTCTGTCACTGTATACATATTTACTTCTTGATCAATCAACTAATTTGGAATATTTAAGTTCCTCTAATATTTGTATGAATAATGGCAAAACGCTTTCAATTATCTGTGTACTGAAAATTATTAGATTCGGGCTTGAAAATTAGAAATCTGACGGCCGTTTGTTTAAAACATTAATTAATTTTGATATTTAAACCACTTTCCATAGGCCTATAGGGGGAAGTTGCGTAACGCCGGACGGCACCTAGCGCCGGACACTATTAAACACGTATTATTTAAACGAGTATAAATTTTTTTATTTCAAAATACAAGTGAAAGGGGCATGGGGGGCACACAGGTTCAAAATCACGCGCCAAGCCTAATGATCGGTTTTTCAACTTCTGTTAATTAATATCCACATACAGACATCTGCTAAAAACCACCTCAATAATTAATGTAGTAAAATTGAAATAAATTATTGGCTTTTCAACTTGCATTAAGTAATATCACCATGCATCCATCTGCTAAAAACCACTTTATAATTATCAAATTAATTTATCACTCATCATTCCCCAAATATGAATTATTGTAAATTCCATCACATTGTGTCTATAATTATAATAATTACTACTTTTTAATATAAATTTAATAATCATTATTGAAATTCCATCATATTTTACCATATTCATGATTACATTAGCCACATATTATCCAAAAGCTTTAATTAATTAAATTTCAAAAATATTTGTATTTCATTATACATTGTTCCATTATATTTTTTTAAAGAAAATAATGCATATTGTTAAGAGTAAATTATTTCATAAAAGATTTTATTAATATATTTAAAGAAATATTTTTATTTCATTATCCAGAAATCCACATTTTATGATTGAAAATATTATATAAAGATGAAATGAGAAGATTTTATCAATTATACCCGATCAGCAAATCTCTGAAGACACCAAGTATAAACGAAGAATTAAATGCAAAACCGTTTCTTTGCAAAGTAAACAATATAACCGAGAAAGCTTGCTCAAAGTCCTCGCAAATAAGTGAAGATTATTCATTCAATGTAATCAATGTTTTAATCATGAATTTGCATTTTGCCTCCACCGAAAATCTTTTAATAATCCTAAAGGGGCATTATACATTTATCGGTATGGTAATTTTTAAGGTCGGAAATGTTTAACGTAAATAAATATTTTGAGGATGAGAACCTTGTGAAATCTCGAGACAAACTTGGCAATGGATTGTTTTTTACAAATCGTAAAATTAATTACAGCTAATTAATAGAAACTTTAATACAATTCATGAAATTACTCTGTCGATCTCTGATTTTGTTTACATTGATGAATGTATTGTAATATTTTTGTTATATCATGTAATAGAAAACACTCCTACTTTAAATATGGGATTCGATATTCATTATAAAGCTTTTAATATTTAAAAATCATTAGTTCATATACTATCTAAATGCTATAAATAATTTATTTCTCCTTTCTCCTAACACTGCCCATTTATGCATTATTTGTCAAACTTACCGCAAACTCGATCAACAAAACGAGATTGCAAATGCATGAATCAGAAATTCAAGAATTATAAAATCATTTCAAATGCATAGAACTTTTTTAATAAAATATAAAACTAGTGACATAACTGAATTGTATTCTTCAGACCACAACTTGTTTCCAGTTTTATAAAGTCGGAGACAATAAATATTCAAATGTATCCGCTTGACATGAGTTCTGTGCAAAAATAATTGCAATTAGTCGATGGGGAAAGAAAATAAATGGAAGTGAAGTAATAAAGTTGTGAATAATTGTATTCTCTGGAAGTAGAGAAGAAAAAGTTCTTATTAAAATTACAAAAAGAATGGGGACATATAAGATCATTTCTCGTATAGAGCGGGGATATACATATTTAACAGAACTTAAAGGTAATCCGACAAATTTAATTATTACTATTAAAAACCTTTATTTTGTTCTATTTGTAATTGCAAAAAATGAAAATAATGTGAATGGATCAATCCTTTTCTATTCCAAACGTTCTTTCATATATTGAATTAGAAGTAATTTCCTCAACGAATGAGAAATTAAATTTCACGACAGAATCCATTTCCAGACGAATGTAGGTATTTCCGATTATCGATGCTTGTTGGGAATAATAATGAATTACTATACCTGGAGCCGTAAATTTTCTTGCACACAATTAAACTATTTATTTACCTTGGAACTGTAATTGCGCATTTTCGTATAAATTCGCTTGACAGGTGGCGGAAAATTAATCTTACAATGAATTATTAGTTGTATAATTTATAGCAATATTATATTGCAGCAGTAATATTTGCACGATGTAGTAGTACTGTTGAGTCATTTATATCGTGGTGTTTGCTGTTGTGGAAATGTTTATATATATGAGTTATTTTTTTCAATGTCAAGTAGAATAGGTTGCATAAAGTTAAGATAAATTCATACTGAGGGATATAAGATAGACACATTCTGAAAAAAATATGCTTTAACTTTTTATATAATATAAAATGAAAATTTTAGCAACTCATCGTTTTTTCTATAAAAGCCAAGAATAAATAGATTATATGGTTAGACCTTAAGAATTATAAGATATTTATTTGATCGTTCAAAATAGAAAACTGGTAATATTAATGATCTTGCTATATAATACATGAATTTCTTATCATTATGCTCTTAAAATTGAGTGGGTAACTAAGGTCCGGTTTGAACGTATTTTCGTTTTATTATATTGGCCATGAAGGTGACAACCTTCAGGGCATTAAGCTTTACACGGAATTGTTGCTACCCCTGGTAGAGAGAGTAGCGTAGTGTTTTAATTGAACTAGTTGTTCACTTCTAAATGTAAAGTCCGAAACAACATGTATAATGAATAACCAATAAATAAATCTTCTTCAATTATAACTTAGTGGCAAATCAGTGATTGTAATAAGTGCTGCAACAAATACATAATATAAAAACAAATCAGTGTTTCATACAGTCCACAGCTACAAGGGTTAAATTATAACCCTGAGTATCGAAAGAGAGTTTTATAACTACGTAACATAAGCACAGGTCCTATTTGAGTTTTTGAGCAAATATATTGTGAAAACCAAACCAATTTTGCACCACAAATAATACATACCAAGCAAACAACTATCTGACTATATTCAGTGAAACTGCAATTTAATTCATCATTGTAGAAAATTGTTCATTGCTGTTTTTCAAAAATTTGTCACCTGGTCCCTTTTACCCCATAGGCGAGGTAAAATGAGACGGTAGGGGTCAAACAGGTCACAAGATTATCTTTAATTTTGAAGGTTTTTTACAAAATAATAGATACATTATTCAAACAATGCAAAATATAAATTTCATGGTTACATATTTTACAGAGATAACACTGTATACCTTGACCTAGTATTTTATTAAAAATATTCAGCAGAGTTAAAATAACTATTTATTTATTTTATCCCTTGTAAAATTGCTTTTTTGACTTAATTTTAATCAAGTGTAATTAAGAATTAATTTAAGTTATTTCGTATTTTTTATTTTTTATTGCCTATACCTTGCTAGGGTAAAGGTTCAGTTGCTCTTTTTAACCCCACCCACGTGTAAGCTTTCTTAGAGATTATACAAAAAAAACTGTGGAGTCTAACCTAAAATTAATAATACATCTTATGAAACAATTACATAACGTATACTTAATTTTTTATTCATGTCTCGTAAACTAAATAACAGTGCTCACTGTTGATGATTTTATTATTTTTCATCATACTGAAAACCTTTTCAGTTTAGAATAACGATGTTTCATATATGCACCTTCAAAGATCAATATTCTTTTTTCTACTATCACCTTTAAAATAAATCAAAGTAAAATAATAAAAAGCATCAAAGGAAATTTCGACGTGGCAGCTTGAACATATATGAACGTTGATACAGAGACAAATAAAATGAAATAAATAACGTTTCTACTTTCTACCTTCTGAACTACGAATACTTCGTACACCGCACAGACTCCGGTAATTGTAATCCCTTGCTCTTTGCAGAGCATCGCTGCGGCCACTGACGCCACCGACATGGCAAGGGAACGCCAACCTGAAACAATAAAAAAAAATGTCTATAATTGAAAATAATTGGGTAGCACGTGGAAATTAAAATTCAGTTTTAGTTGTAAGAACATGTATAAAATTTGTTGCATTAACTACTAATTCAAATTCAATTGAAAAAATCGAAAATTCCCAAGTAAAACTCAGGTTTACTCCTTTGGGATTTTGATGAAACTTCGCATGCTGATAGAGTTGATAGTCAAACCGAACACCTTGAAAAATCATAGGCCTATGAGAGTACATTCAGCTATCTGGAGCAGTAAAGACTAATTTCTTCTTCTACATTTCGAATTCTGAGATCTTGATGTATCAACCAATTGGGAACGTATTTTAGAGCGTTCACGATTTCTTTTAAAATTTTATTCTGGAACCTTTGTAGAATAGTTATGTTCGATTTACTGGCCGCACCCCATAGTTGTAGGCCGTAGGACCATATTGGTTTAATAATTGTCTTGTATATTAGAAGTTTATTTGCTATTGTGACTAGTGACATTTATAATTATTAACTCATTTCATATATTTATCAGTAAAATCATATCATTTTCTTAGCACTTATCTTTATTTATTACTAAAATACTAATAATATAATAATAATAAATAAAACTGAACTAGATTACTTAATGATTCATAGACGATATTTTTTTAATTCAATTTAATAAGTATAGTTTACACATGTATAGTTTACTATAACTATATTTTACAATTCCATTTAACATTGCGAAATAATATTCAAGTGTCTTGAGAAGTTCTTGGAGGAATCTGAAGCATTTCTAATCTTTTCTGATCTCCCTTTCACGCTCTTAGTTATATTATACCGTATTTATATTAAAGACGTTTCAAAGAGTTCAGTAAGTCGAAGTGTCAGGTTTATGGAGAAGGTATCGAGGAAAGAATTTTCTCTTGGGTAATTTTATAATATATATATATATATATATATATATATATATATATATATATATATATATATATATATATATATATATATAATATTAGTATACTAATATATGAAGGATAACGTGTGCTCTAAATTGGTAATTCATACTTTTTTAGGCTGGCTAATTGTTGCGTTAATAAACAATCAAACAGGATTATTAAAAATTCTTTCTTTGACAATTTTACTAATTGAATTATTTGATTAATCTCGTTTTTCTCCATAATTTCTTGAAACACACGTCGCTCAGTTTTTGAAATAAATAAGATAACATTATTTATTTAACCTGGTGTAAGTTGTAAATTGGCTTTTGAAAAGTTGCAAATCCCCGTGAATAAATCAATCAAAATTGAGGGTTGACAACTTATTAATTCGTACCGATATAATCTTGAAATTTTGATATGATACATTATTCCACATTGATAAATGTATAGTATTAAACCACTTTTGTTGGTCTATAATGTTTTGAATGCTATGCGACTCTGACATCACACAAGTTTCATCAAAATCGTCAAAAAAATTTTTAAACAATGAACTTAAGACATGTCAGATTAGAGTAATAATCATCAATTCCAGTAAATATTTATATTCTCTAACTTGCAAATGTTCGCCATCTTGAAACTATATACTTCTGAATAAATAATTATTAATATTGTTTTAATTGTACTTATTTTCCACTAATTCCCAATATCAATACACTGCCATTAACAGCTGAAAACATGGGTTAGCTGGAATTTTCCCCCCTTATCAATTTCAATAAACTACAGCATCAGTGCAAAGTCAAACAGCGCCATTAGAGTAATCTCTCCAGGCTTCGCTTCGGAAATAATGACAAATCTATCAAAGTGCACGGAATCTCCTTCCCCCGCCGGCTTGGTATGAGGCGGTATGAGACGCTTGTAGTGTCTTACTCGCGTTCCTTAATGCAACGTTGACGGATATAGAGAATAGAGCGCGCGCTGGAGCAAGAGAAATGTCACATCCTGTTAAGAGTTTCCCATACACAACGGTCGCAAAAACGATCAAAAATACGTGACAAAAGAAAAACGATGGAAACACATCACGTTGCCTGTACAACAGGAACGCATTAAGTATCGAGATAAAAGCGTTATATACTGCCTTTATGCTACATGGAAATGAGATGTACTATTATAATGTAGTTTTGCTATCTTCAGAAGAAGAAATCTCAATCTTTGACACGTTGATCGCCATGTCAGTCATACGTATTTGAAGGAGAAAAATAGATTTAATATAGGGCTATGTCATATGTGTGTGTCAAATAATATAGTGTCTTTCCAGGAGTTTTGGTAAAAAACATTTTTCTTTGATCTATTAAGTTTTCTTGGTTCATTTTTGAATTAAATTTTCTAATAAAGTTGCCAAGGCTCATGTCATGCTCATGTAAATTTTTTTATGGTATTATCGTAGTGATTATTGTGTTCATTAAATTGACGTATCTCATTTCGTGCCAGTATATATGAACATGAAGGAATAAAATACGAAGGAATTTTACAACTAATATAGTCGACTATCGACGGCTTTCAACTTGTATTTCTGAATGCAAAAATAATTCATATCCAAAAGTTTCATCAAAGTTGTCATTTTAAAAATTTTAATTTGAATAACAAAAAACCTTGCCTAATATAAATTATACATCATTTTCATCAATACTGGTAGATTTCTCGCAGTTTATATTATAAAACAGTAGATTTTTATACCAGCATTTATGATTTCATCTTCGTTTGTAAATAATGAGAAACTTGCCACTTGTCAGCAATGTGTGTCACAGTGTACTAATTAAATTAGTTTTATGTAATGATGAATAAAAAAGAATAAAGAAGAACATTTTACTGCTCCTAATTTTCAAGTACCTAATTTATTTTATTAACTAACTTTCCTAATTATATATCAATGTGTCAATATGAAGTATAATCAGTTACTAATTAGTCAAGGTATACGAAATTCATCGGGTGATCTAATATATTTATGACAATGACCAAAATATATGTATATGAATGAATAAATATATTTTTACCAAACCGTTAAAATTATCAGTTGTCAAGCTCCAATGAAAAATGATTATGATGGTTTATGGTTTAAAATGATCCTTTAAAATAATCTTCTTGTTATTAGAAAGTTACGATTTTAATTATTACAATATTTGTTTTAAAACATATTAATATTAATTTGCACTCATAATTCTCTTTAATCAATTTTAAATTTCCATATTCAATTAAATGAAAGCCATCTAGTTCCTATATTTTCTGGTTGCTTTACACACACACACACACACACACACACACATATATATATATATATATATATATATATATATTTAAACCATATATTAAAGTTAGTTAAATTTTTGTACCGTATCCAAGCGTTGCGCAAAAAATCGAATATGCAATTTTATCGAACAAATAAACTGGAGTTTATTTCTCGTTTATGATTTTACATGAACAAGTATGGTTATACAGAGAACAAACCCATTTTGTCAGGAATTATTTGTATCATATTATTATTTATGTATAAAAATATTTATTTCATACACAACATTGAATCAGAAATTGCAATACTGTGTTGCTATCATATAAAAATAATTGTAATTTTGATTTTAGTCGAAGAAATATTTATTGAACTATAAACTTTGTAAGCTCAATACTTATAAATTTATATAATTACACTTACTAAAAGTTGCAAACTTTTTAATAGGTGAAAAAATGTCTATTAAGTAACTACGTACAACTCATAACTACTTTAAAGATAAAATCATTGAAATCTACCTATGTATATTTTGTTCAGTACATTTTTGTAAAAAAGAAATAAAAATAGGTTAGATACATTCCACTAGAATATGAAAGTTATTTTCTTGTTTTATCGCAGAATTTACTTATAAATCTAAAAAAAAATCAATCTTGATACTTTTATAGGCATTTACAAGTGACATAAAGCATAATGGTAATGAATAAGAAATAATCTCCGAGGATGATAATGATTATATTTGATGTTTTGGATGAGGAATTAGAAAACATAGAAAAGATGTTGTTAAAGCATGATGAGCAGTATAATGTAAACAAAATTTATGATTAGCCGTGGCAAGACCGGTCAAGGATGTGGGCTAGCACAAACTAAACCCAAATGTAATTTCAACCTAGGCAGAGCTTGATATCACGCAGCATTATACTAAATTTTGACTTGTGGTTATAGATCTCAAAAATAATCTCAAGTAAAAATCGCATTTCATGGGCAAATATACAAGTATTGTTGTTTGAGGTAGATGTTAAAAACAATGATGCTCCATGATAGGGAGTGTTATTCACTACTCATGGGCCAAGAAGGAATACTGCTAACTATATAGACATACAAGAGTATAAAATAAATCAATTTTGAATAAAGTATAAGTTATAGTTGCCTTTATCACGTCCCACATTTTGAAAACAGCCAACTCCTGCATAGATACATAAATCCTTTACTCACATTACTTGAACATGCGATTCTTTAACTTTGATTAACAACGATTCGGTTTCCTGCTGCAAAGACGAGTTAATCATTGGAATTGTTTCGAGTTGATAAATTCGGTTCTGGTTAATAGAACTAAAAGAACGTCGAGTCGTATCGTCAGAAAACAAGAAAGCAAACGAAACGGAAGGAACACAGGAGCAGCGACATCTAACACAATGACTCCTGATAAATTACAACGCCAGAAGCAGGCGCGTGCTGCACACACAGCAAACAGCAGCCGAACAGTAGACGGTCGCAGCAAAATAGCGAAATACTGAAGAATGTGCTCCACATGCAGCGCCGAGCGCGGTGCCAGTATCACGTGCTATCATTATTTTTAATGCGGCATTTTTCTTCAAAATGTTTCTCTCATGATATATATATATATATATATATATATATATATATATATATATATATGTATATATATATATATATATATATATATATATCTTATATATAAATATGGATCGCAAAATGTGTTGGTAAGCGCAAAACTCAACAACGCCTGGACCAATTTGGCTAATTCTTTTTTTAATATTGTCGTTGAAGTCCAA